AAAAAAACCACATGAACAATTATCTATTTCACTCCAACTTGGGTAAGATTTTTGTAGTTTAATCAGATCAGTTTCACTCCTTTCCCCTTAGCTTTAACACTCACGTAACCTGGGAAGAGAAAAACCTGGCAGAGCAGTTTGTTAACTTGCTGTGGTCATCTTTTGATTCTTAATTATAAAGAATATTTATAGTAAGGATTCACATCGAATTAAACCTAACATGAGTTAGAATTTAAAGGTTACATACCTCTGGTGAGGGGAGGCTGGCAGGCATGGTGTCACCCAGAGGCTTTGTGACCAAAGCAGAACCCAGGATGTCGATTAAGTGATGGGCCATGAGCTGTTGTTGCTCCACTGTGCAGTGGTTCTCCAGGGACAGAATCACAGGGTACGGAGATGTCTGGGTAGCAAAAGATCAACCATCAACGTTCAAAGCTTTTTATTCTCCTAGAGGCAAAATAAGCATTTCATTTACCTTGAAGGCATAGTCTTTGATGGCTCTGATGACGTCTTTGAAAAGGATTTTGGATGTTAGAGTGTAGCCGTGATAAATTATAGGCTCTCCGTTTGGTCCGTCCCAACAGTCCAGCTCCACACAACGGCAACTCTTCATCAATGCTCTGCAAGAAGAGGAGTGAGTAAAACTACCTTTTCCATCCATTTACTCTGAGTGATTAGTTTCCTTTTCACTGAAACAACCACTAGACATGTGGGGAGTCCATAATAATCAGCAAATAATCAAGTTTTATTAAGGTATGATTATGATTAATTATCCTTATGTCAGCAGTGGATTTAATAGCTCTCAGTTTCCTTCATTAGTAAAGGTTGGATATAAGCAACACCTCTGTAATTTGGATCAAATGATACTCAAGACCCAGTCCCAGTATTTAATACTGGGGCAGAAAGTAAACTGAAGTTTATATCAGACTGCAGGACCATATAATCCTCCAGAATGATCCACAGAGACAAGGATCAAGGTTCCTCTTCATCCCTGTACAACAACAAATCGTTGGGCACTCTGAAAAGAGTGGACTCAGTAGAACGGCTTTTTTGAGAGCCAGACGGAGACTTGTCCAAAAATGTTTAACTCACTGAGAACAAAAATATATACGTAAAGATTTCATTGAACTGTGCATTAAGCAAAGTAGATAGTTGTTGGACAGACTCATGAAATGTCAGGCCTGAAAAGCCCAGACAGCAGATTAAAACCTGAGGACGTTTTCTAATTTTCGTCTAACAACAAGCAGTACTGAAACGCTTACTTTACATAGGCCTCTGTGCTGCTGGGTCCTTTGAGTTGGTCCTCCATCAGGTAGGTGTTGTGTGAGGAGGAGATAAAGTAATGATTGAGAGGCTGACTCATGTCCTGATACACCGGTGAGTGAGCTGGGTTGAAGATGCATCCATCCTCTTGGTTGAGGTACATTACAAAGCCATCTTTAGTCATGCGCTTCTTCTGTTTTGCTGTGAGGACGAGCACAATAAGTTGAATAACCCTCCAAGCAAGGCAAATCCGGTGAGAGTCGAACTTTTGAAAACCAACAGTCCCGCTCCAAGTTCACCAACCTGCTTCGTCCAATTCATGTTTCTCAATCAGCTTGAGTGCACTCTCTATGGTCGCTTGTTCCCTCTGCTCATTCAGCAGGAAATCCAGCAGGTCCCTGGCGCTCATTTCACCCTCTGTTTTAGCGTACTTCGCATAGATCACATCTATCTCCTCCCGTTTTGTCAGGAGGCTATAAAATTCCTCGATCTCCAAGTCTTCCAGGGTACCCGAATTTGACGTGTCACATTTCTGTGTAAACACAATGGCACTTCAATAAACTGCTAACTTTACTGATTTGGTTTTACTCAAAGAGAAAAGAAATTTGAGAGCGCCACACCTTGAATATTTCCTCCACATAGGTGTCATCCACCTCAATGTTGACCTGTCGCAGGAAATGCTTCAGCTCTTTCAGGGTCATCTTGTTGTCTTTGTTCTTGTCTGCCTTTCGCATGCAGCTGATGAACCAACTGGAACTCAGATGTAAGGATTTGGTTTACAACAGAACAAAACTACAAAAAAATAACTGTGCAGAGCACCACCTTAGAGCCCAAACCTCAACTGATGCACAATGTATAACACACCTACAAAAATACGTAAATACATAAATAAATCCACAACTGGACTTACTGGTTGTGACAAAACTCACCAACCATATGTGCTTTTAAATGTCCCTGTGCACAAAACAACATTCTAAACAAACTAACAAAATAATGGTGTATGTGTGAAATAAAAAAAAATAATAATTGAAATCAAATCACATTAAGGATACTGTTCTCTTTCCTGCTTCTTGTTGAGGTTCTGCGCATGGTTCATGAGCTTCTCCAGGCTGGTGACCCACCGATGGGCCTCCTCTTTAGAGTTCACCATGAAGTCGAGGTTCTTTTTGCTTCCCTTAAACATGATAGAGAAGCACTTCTCTTCCTCGTCGGGGTCCGTATGTTTTTTGAGTCCTTCGGTCTGGCGGCCCTTGCGCACAGATTCGATGTCATCAATGAGGACTGTGTAGAGAAAGCAGGACGTTTGTTAGAACCTGGATTTAGAAATGAGAACATGGCTATGCTAATTAATTATAAAGCCAACTTCATTTGAACTTTTAAACTAACGGCAAGTTTAAGACAGCGTTTGGAGTCTAAAACCGACGTACAATTATTTCTAAAGGATTTTGGACTTCTTCCAAAATAAATCGTTGCAAAGTTGTCTGACAGCGATTGCTTTATTCGTAATTTAAGATCTGGTCTTAGGCATTTGGTACCCATCAGGCATTCTTATCACCTTAAGCACAGACCTTCCTCCGACATGTCATTATCTTCTTGTGAAAGACGACTTTTCTCTTTGGTCACAACAGGGCTACTTTTGTATCTTCTTATCCATAAGATAACTCTTGTTTTTGAGGGAGCTGCCTTTGGAGGCCTCTTACATAAGCGTTTGAGAAATGTCACGTGCTTCCATGACGTCTGAGCTCACCTCAAAATGGAAATGGTTGATGCCAATCAAATTAAAAGAAAAAAGCTAGAGTGAAATTATGCAAAAAGACACAATGGTGCTTAACAGAACTGTTTGAGAGTGTAGAGGTGGGTAATGTGTTGCACGCAATCACACAGAGCTCCTTTCCTCCAAGACCCTTCAAAATATTCTTGGTGGACCTTTTACATTTAAACACAACAACCTTATCACACACAACTGGTATTCCTGAGTCTTCAGGCAGAGGCAGACTGGCAATCTGACCATTCTGAAGAAGTACAAAATGATTGTCCAGTTCAGGGCCGTCGGCCTGCCTGTTTCTGCTAACAGAACAAGTCAGATTTATTACTTCCAGTCGCAAGCAACAGCAGACGTCACGACCCCAAGTTTAATAAAGGAGAGAAACTGTTTTCTTTCTCACCGCTCTTGATTTCTCCCTCTTTCTTCTATTGTATTTCTACGCTGGGTTATGTTGGAACTGGTGCAGACTTGATACTTGTTCATAGTTCCAGTATTATAGAGATAAAATTAGATCAAATTCACAGCAATGCTTTTTCCCTCTTTATTAAAAATTGATTAAGTAATGTTTTCCTTGCACCACAACGGATTATGAAAACAGAGGAGAATAAAACGATCGAAGGGAGAGGCTCACTTGATGCTAAGAAGCAGAAACAACATGAAAACAACAACGTTGAGCATTTGCATCCTTGTTGGGAGATAAGATGTAAGTGGACAGAAGACGACAGAGGACATCTGGTAATTGCATTGTCCAACTAGCAAACATGGTTTCACGAAAATAGTAAAAGGGGGTATTTGTTATGCTAAAAAGACACCGATTTATCACCAATGTGACCCAGATAACTCGAATGAAGGTCTCTACACATGCAGTCTGTTTCCGCCCATACACTTGAAGCCAGCTGCTTTGTTGAGCAGCTTAATTTACGGAAGAGCGAGCACCAACACACACGATGTAACCACTCTGAAGAGAAACGACTGACCTTGTGATAAAAAGAAAGACTAAAAGCTCAGCTACAATGCTAGTTTTAGATAACTGACCAATGTTGTTTGTAGAATTGAACACTGAAAGATAAGTACACATGCTTACAGTACTTATCTGAACAGATTTTTGCAAACAAATGCAGCAGTTCGATGTAATTTTTAACAAACAGCAAGACAGAAAACTCTACAACTTAAATGTAAATTTGTGGAGTCTGCTGGATAAGCAAGAGAAGATAAACAAGTTTAAGAATTTGTATGATAAAAGAAATGAAACTTATTGAATTTTTTTTTTCATGAGCAAAGAGCTGGTTTAAGTGATTAACAGGAACTGCTGTTAAATATGCAAACCTGCATCTTCTGCATTTTTCCATTCTTTGCTGTTAACGACTACCAGAGAAAAATATCTGCTTTTGTTTTGATTTAAGCTTGTTCAGGGACTTCTCAATGTGAAAGCATTCATCAGAAAATGAAAGAAAACAGCAGATGTGTAGATGTTTACAACCCATCCACCTCGCTGCAGCACTTAATGGAAGTATGTTTGTACTTAGCAGCTAAGATAGTGATGATTTTCAAGATTTTAAGTAGAAATTCATGACTCCTGGTTACCATGCGGTATAAATGTGACATGACAAGGAGGCCAATTTGTTTTAGCTAATCTTCAAAATGGGTAGGATAAGAGAGCCTGCTATTCACGCAAAGCATGTGTGTGTTCATCTCCGTAAGTCAGGAAATGACCGCAATACACAGCTACTAACTCTGGTAACAGTTGGAGCAAATATTTTACTGCTATATTGTGTTCCCGCAAAGAACGATGTATTAATTTTAATACTGTTTAATTTTTTTTTCCCCCAAGGGTGGTTAAGTTGCAAAAGGCAAATGTTCTTTCTTAGCCAATTTAATTACATCTAGTTGCTAATTTCTGGTCTAGCTCAGTGCTGTACTTTTTCTGCTAGATTTTAATGCTGCATTTTTTACAGTTAACGTATTCTCTTGGAGAGGTTTCAACATGTCATTGCGGTTAAAACAATCACGCTAATTTGATAATGTTTAGCTTTCAATGAAAGATTCCAGTTTTACAGTAAAACAACAATTATGGTATGAGACAATAAAAAAAAAAAAAAACGATCTCAGTTTTAGCCTTAATTTTAAAAATAGGAAAGATGGAAAATATTCAAGTGAAGCAAAAGTGTGTTGAGCTTCAGAAATAAAATAAAATAGTTACTTGCCTCTAATTGGGTAAACGTCCTCACATCTACAGTTAGAGAAATCTTATCCTAGCAGTGAACTAAATATAAAAGAAGATTACATTTTATGTTCTCTGTTAGAGACGTATTTGAGTTGCTGAGACTCCATAACAACTATTACATACTGACAACAAGACTCAGCTGTCAAAGCACTTGAAACTTGTTTCGCATGAAAGAAAGGTAGAATGTGCAAACAGCAGATGCACACTGCTAACCACAGTGGTGATGAGATGCTGTGTGTCTGTTTCTCTTCCAAAGAGCATAAAAAACCTTTTAGTGCATGATAATATGAAGTCTTTGAAACACTAGGAGATTTAAAAGACAATATTCCACGGCTGTAAGCAATTCAAGATCATCTCTCTCTATAATTCAGACTAAACATCGATGCACATTTACAGTCTTGACTTTGTGGTTTTAAACTGATAAAATTCGAACGCACGCATACACTGATCTGTACACATCTATTTTCAAATGTGGTTAAAACCAGGTCTTGTTTTCACTCGCAGTCTTTTCTCCAGTAAACCTCAACACTTTTGAGCTGGGCTGTCACTTTGGCTTTCTGGCTGACACGAAAACAACAAAACATGCTGTAGAGACCTGAAACAAAACACCGACCACCTTAAGACCACCTTCGGGCTCTGTTGTTGTTCTAAGCTCAGGCTTTGAGACAGAGATTATCAGCCATGGCAGCACTGACTGTCGCTGGGGTGCGAGGGAAACCTGAGCCACCAGAGACCCAGAGAAAGATATACTCTTTTTCAGTCTGACAGGGGATCACTGAACCAGGAGAAGGAAAATAACTCAAACGGGCACACACACATAGTCAGGATGTACACTAGATTTTTCCAGTCTGTCTCTTGCCCCAACCATGATGAATGTTTGAGCTGTTTTTCACTCCACCAACAACATTTCTCACATACTCGCCAGAGGAATTTGAGGGACGTGTCTGAGTGTGTGTGTGTGTGTGTGTGTGTGCGTGTGTGTGTGTGTGTGTGTGTGTGTGTGTGTGTGTGTGTGTGCACACACGATGAAGCAAGAAGCTTTTGTTTTGATGTGAAAGGAGTGCTCTTACTTGACCCAGTAAAAGCCAAAGGGGTAATTTTTCTTTAGCAAGACTTATCTCATTTTTATGAATCATATGATAAAAGGAATTTGAAACTCACAGGTATTGCCTTTTTTGCCAAGTTTCTTAGACGAGCACATAATGGTCCTACAGTCTTCCATCAGATTAAAGTAGCGGCTCTTATGCCAGGATTTCGAGCGGATCTTGGTGAGTTTCGCGCCGTCCAGCAGGAACCGAAGGTCCGCATTGTCTTTCAGACCTAGATATTTTGGGACAAAACAGGAAATATCAGAATTATTATGAATGTTTGGATATTATTACAAAGCTAAAATGAACAGGTAAAACATTAAACTGGAGAAGTGGAAAAGAAAGATAATTTTAGTGGAGCACCGTTTGGAGGTAACCAGCTGGTTTACACATCCTGCTGGGACTAAATGTTTTATGGAGGAATGCCTTGTTTTTGCTTATTGCTTATTTTTATCTGTCTTTTTTTAACACAATGTGTGTCTTTGACGTGCATGGAAAAACGACTGAAAGAAATACAGGTTTTGTTAAAGGTTTTGTCCATTCTTTACAAAAATTAATCAGGGTCCACCAGACTTGAGTGGAGAGTCTCTGTCAATACCATTGTTGTAACAAGGGGTGCACCGATTGCAGTTTTCTGTCTAATCACCGATTACCAATCTTTTAAAAAGCCCAACTTACCGATTCCGATTTTGGCAGATGCCATTTTTTGTCTGAAACGTTGCTCAACATATCAAGAAAGTTGCTGAATTGACAACAACAGGGTAACTATTGTTAACTGTAAATGTGCAGACATGACCTAGTTGGCCAATTTGTCAGTCAAACCTCTTTCACGGGAGAAAAGAAAAGCATAGTGGTTGATTTTTAGACTTTGCCGAGGATAAGATCTGCTTCACATGTAAAAATTGGCCGATCACCGATCTCCCAAAAATTAAGGAGATCGGCACCGATAAATCGGCTGGCTGACAAGTTGGTGAACCCCTAGTTGTAAGCAATTCATTTTAATCAATTCACAATTTGTTGGCTTTGCTTTGGGTTGTTGTTTTGTTGAAAGGAGAACCTCCTCCAGAATCTGGTTCTCTGCCGCCTTTGACAGGTTTTCTTGCAGAATTGCCCATAGTGTGATGCTGCCACTACCATGTTTCACAGCAGGCTTCTTAAAGCTTTCCTTCAGTTTTTTTCTTGTTGCCGTTTGAGTTTTTCTTCCTGTTGCAAGTTTTTGATAGTCTATCACATTGAAGTTAGATTGTTAAGTAACAAAGAGTGGAAAAAGAGGTATTCGTACTTTTTCAAGTCACTGGTTCCTAATCATATCCTTTATGTTTTCCCAATATAATATTCAGAATTCTCTTTAGGTGCAATTTCATTTTGTATGTTAAAGTCCACCAGTATACCATGAGGTTCATTTTGTAAACATCAATACGTGGGTGGACTTACTTGAGGTTTGGAAGTTGGAAGTTGCAATTTACAAAATAAGCCTGCAAGTAAAATATCATTTAACTTATAGAGGCACAAGGTAGATTTTGATCCCTTAAAAAGTGGCTTTAGTAAAATGGAAACAATGATTGTTTTTTTTATTTTTCCTAGTCATCATTTTCCATCTTATTCTGAAATAAAAAAAATACTAAGTGCAATTTCCATGTTCCATTTCTATGAAAGAACCATATTATCTGCTTGATTCACCCATCAGGCCACTGCTTCCACAGACACTGAAGTACAGACTCATTGCTTCCTTTAGTTCTAGTAGAAATACTAGCAATACAACTACAGAGAAAGAAAACTCCTCCACTGGGGTCTCCGGGTAGAACGTTCCGCACGAACAGAGCTAGCATGTTATGTTCATGCAGAACATAACATTCTTAGCCCACCATCATCAAATATTTACAGCTTGAATCTGCAAACACATTAAGTTGATGCTACTGTAAAATAGATCAATAAAATATTTGGAATTGCACCACGCCGAAGTTTATCACATAATTTTTTTTTTCATACTACTTGTTTCTCAAACTGCTTGGATTTTTATCTGGACTCACTTGGATGGATACAAAAGATATCAGCATGTTCTAAAACAGGAGCAATGGCAGAGTTTCCGTTTTAGATGTCCTGCTAACTTCTACGCTAATATTGTTTTCTTTTTTTTTTTTCCTGTCTGCTACAGAGTGTGCAGCATGATTTTGCAGTAAGCCAGTATTCATGTGAAGTAATACACTTTGGAAACTGCATGCTATCACTTTGAGAGTGATTCACGAGCCAAACCCTCTGTGTGAAGCCATAATAATACTGGGTAGAGAATGCTTAGTCTTTTGTGGGTGGGGCTGGGATCTGCAATGCAACTTAAAACAATGACTAGTTTTTATCAAGGTTTCTACAAAATAGAACTGGAATCTGTATGTTACCTTTGAAGGAGAAAACACTTGAAATCTGTTGGAGCTTTATCAGATTGCTAGCAAGATTGCGTGACAGACCTGTCCCCACAGATTGTATCCTGAGCTCCCTGACATGGTTCAAGGTTTGTTTCTCCAGAAGCACTGAAGGAATTGTTTTCAACATATACGTCAATCAGCCGACCTAGTTAGTTTAGCTGTTCAGTTGACAGCAAAGAAGAGGGACGGGCATGTTTTATTGTTCCAGGAAAACAAGAAATAGTTCTAGAATCCAAGGAACACCCGCCCCCCCCCCAAGTCATGAGTGCTTCTTCTGAAGCTGAGTAATGAATTTCAGATGGAAGGCTCTGCAACCAACTGTTTACACCATGTGAGACAAGCTAGGGCATGATGTTTCTTAGAATTACTGGGAAATAATATGGCTGGTTGTTATTCTCAAATTACCTGAAGAGAAGGTATTCACTATTACCCTGCATTTTCCCTGTTAAGGTAGGTTAAGAAAAAAAACAAAAACAAAAAAAACTTGTGTTGATTCATATCAGAAACTCTTCCTTACAAAAGTAATCATCCTCTTGAACATTTTCAGATTATGCAATGTTACATATACAAACTTCCATCATATTTTACTTGCACTACAAAAACAAAAAGTTGTTCATAATTGTGAAGTGGAAAGAAAAGATACATGGTTTTCAACCTTTCTTCTATGAAAATCTGTGTGACAAACAATTGCCAGCCCTCTTCCCCCTAATAGCCCTGATGCAAATCCAGTGCAAGCAATTGCCTTCAATTCATATCACAGAATTGGAGGTAACGTCAAAATCATTGCAGAGGTTCGTAGCTGATGTGGGAAAATCTGCTGACAAAACCGTTAATCATGCATTTTCCAATCTTGGAAAAATCAACTCTAAAAGAAAACCATAAAAGTCACATATGTATTTTCTCAGTGAGCCATGTAGAGATAAAGCCAACAGTTAGATGAAAACAAAAGTACATGCTTTGGCCCACAAGCAAAATGCATGGCGTGCGGGTGCTTTTCTACAGAAAAGGACAAGGAAGCTGGTCATAGTTGATGGGAACAGGAATACAGATCAAATCAATTAAATTCTGTAAGACAACCAATTCAGTGACTACCAAAAGACTTAAGACTGGGTTAGGGTTAGGGTTGGATCAACAGGACAACCTCAAACCTACAGGGAGAGCGACGGTCTCTGGATGAGAAAAGCTGGAGAGACAAACCATAAGAGAAGAAATTGAGCTGAAAAAAGTTTAAATTAGTAATGGAAAAAACATTTATTTTCTTTCAAGCCATATTGTACATATGTGTGGGTTTATCACATAAAATTACATAACATACATTGAAGGTTCTGGTTGCAGCGTAACGAAATGCGGAAAAGCTTAAAGGGCGTGAATACTTTAGCAAGATTTAAAATTGCTTGAAACTGAAATGTAATATTTAAAAGTTTACTTTGTGGAAGTGGAAAGAAAAATCTTTTTATTATTATTTTTTCGTAAACATAGTAATAAAGTGATGCTACGAGTTCAATCTTTTGTTTGTATTTTAACCCAGTTTGTTTACAAATATAGCCGATAGCTATTATGTGCGACTGCTTTTAAGCAAGGGAGTTTTTTTTAATTCCATTTCCAAAAACCCAAAGGAATTAGAGGAATATCAGCACTAGATACAACCTTGTAAGTGAGAGGAGTTTACAGTAGAAAATGCGACCAGATATTTCATAGGTGAAAAGGAACCAACAATTGACTTTCCAGACCCAATACCAGTGACTACAGCATTTGTGCAGGTGTGTTTGGTGTGTGATGTTCTTAACATCAACACCATGAAGAGGCATAACAAATCAAATTCTGTTTAAGGCCCCATACAACCCTGGGTCAGCCCAGAATCCAAGAAACGGCCATATGTTTGTACGGATAAATAGGAGTAAAATCTAATTTCTCAACAGTTAAAACATTTTTTTTCTCTTTTATGTGATCTATAATGTAAAAAAAAAATGGAAGTGGAAGGTTAAACCTCAAAAGAAAACCTCAACATTTGGCATTGTCTAGTAAAAGGCTGTATCTCTTTAAAAACTGATGTCCCGAAAAAGATGAAACGTCTCTGTTGTTTACACATAAACAATAACAGTCACAGGCTTGCCCTGGCTTTTAAGGAGGTCACAAATGAAAAGCCCACATAGACTCAATGGAAACAACAAAGAGAATTTTCACTGGACCATTCACTGTGTTTTTTTTTTTTCCTCCCCTCATCGAAAAGGGAGTGCAGGGGATGTCAGTCTAACAGGCGACGGGCAGAAGCCTGGTCTGTCATCAGAAGAAAGAATGCGCCGCTCCAGGCGATTAAGAACCATTTACATATGTGCACATAACAAACACAGATGAGGACACACTGGAGTACTGATGCGTAATAAGAAGAGGAACATATTTTCCAAATCCAAGTTCTCCAAACACAACCCCACGAGCATGCGCGGTTGCTCCTGTTTGTGTTGGCTTAACAACTGAAGCGCGTGCGCCCCTGACTCCAAGTGCACCTTTAAAAAAAAAAAAGAGGACTCACCCAGGCGTTTTCCATTTTCCAGCGCGACCTTTTTACGGTGCTCTNCCCTAGTTGTAAGCAATTCATTTTAATCAATTCACAATTTGTTGGCTTTGCTTTGGGTTGTTGTTTTGTTGAAAGGAGAACCTCCTCCAGAATCTGGTTCTCTGCCGCCTTTGACAGGTTTTCTTGCAGAATTGCCCATAGTGTGATGCTGCCACTACCATGTTTCACAGCAGGCTTCTTAAAGCTTTCCTTCAGTTTTTTTCTTGTTGCCGTTTGAGTTTTTCTTCCTGTTGCAAGTTTTTGATAGTCTATCACATTGAAGTTAGATTGTTAAGTAACAAAGAGTGGAAAAAGAGGTATTCGTACTTTTTCAAGTCACTGGTTCCTAATCATATCCTTTATGTTTTCCCAATATAATATTCAGAATTCTCTTTAGGTGCAATTTCATTTTGTATGTTAAAGTCCACCAGTATACCATGAGGTTCATTTTGTAAACATCAATACGTGGGTGGACTTACTTGAGGTTTGGAAGTTGGAAGTTGCAATTTACAAAATAAGCCTGCAAGTAAAATATCATTTAACTTATAGAGGCACAAGGTAGATTTTGATCCCTTAAAAAGTGGCTTTAGTAAAATGGAAACAATGATTGTTTTTTTTATTTTTCCTAGTCATCATTTTCCATCTTATTCTGAAATAAAAAAAATACTAAGTGCAATTTCCATGTTCCATTTCTATGAAAGAACCATATTATCTGCTTGATTCACCCATCAGGCCACTGCTTCCACAGACACTGAAGTACAGACTCATTGCTTCCTTTAGTTCTAGTAGAAATACTAGCAATACAACTACAGAGAAAGAAAACTCCTCCACTGGGGTCTCCGGGTAGAACGTTCCGCACGAACAGAGCTAGCATGTTATGTTCATGCAGAACATAACATTCTTAGCCCACCATCATCAAATATTTACAGCTTGAATCTGCAAACACATTAAGTTGATGCTACTGTAAAATAGATCAATAAAATATTTGGAATTGCACCACGCCGAAGTTTATCACATAATTTTTTTTTTCATACTACTTGTTTCTCAAACTGCTTGGATTTTTATCTGGACTCACTTGGATGGATACAAAAGATATCAGCATGTTCTAAAACAGGAGCAATGGCAGAGTTTCCGTTTTAGATGTCCTGCTAACTTCTACGCTAATATTGTTTTCTTTTTTTTTTTTCCTGTCTGCTACAGAGTGTGCAGCATGATTTTGCAGTAAGCCAGTATTCATGTGAAGTAATACACTTTGGAAACTGCATGCTATCACTTTGAGAGTGATTCACGAGCCAAACCCTCTGTGTGAAGCCATAATAATACTGGGTAGAGAATGCTTAGTCTTTTGTGGGTGGGGCTGGGATCTGCAATGCAACTTAAAACAATGACTAGTTTTTATCAAGGTTTCTACAAAATAGAACTGGAATCTGTATGTTACCTTTGAAGGAGAAAACACTTGAAATCTGTTGGAGCTTTATCAGATTGCTAGCAAGATTGCGTGACAGACCTGTCCCCACAGATTGTATCCTGAGCTCCCTGACATGGTTCAAGGTTTGTTTCTCCAGAAGCACTGAAGGAATTGTTTTCAACATATACGTCAATCAGCCGACCTAGTTAGTTTAGCTGTTCAGTTGACAGCAAAGAAGAGGGACGGGCATGTTTTATTGTTCCAGGAAAACAAGAAATAGTTCTAGAATCCAAGGAACACCCGCCCCCCCCCCAAGTCATGAGTGCTTCTTCTGAAGCTGAGTAATGAATTTCAGATGGAAGGCTCTGCAACCAACTGTTTACACCATGTGAGACAAGCTAGGGCATGATGTTTCTTAGAATTACTGGGAAATAATATGGCTGGTTGTTATTCTCAAATTACCTGAAGAGAAGGTATTCACTATTACCCTGCATTTTCCCTGTTAAGGTAGGTTAAGAAAAAAAACAAAAACAAAAAAAACTTGTGTTGATTCATATCAGAAACTCTTCCTTACAAAAGTAATCATCCTCTTGAACATTTTCAGATTATGCAATGTTACATATACAAACTTCCATCATATTTTACTTGCACTACAAAAACAAAAAGTTGTTCATAATTGTGAAGTGGAAAGAAAAGATACATGGTTTTCAACCTTTCTTCTATGAAAATCTGTGTGACAAACAATTGCCAGCCCTCTTCCCCCTAATAGCCCTGATGCAAATCCAGTGCAAGCAATTGCCTTCAATTCATATCACAGAATTGGAGGTAACGTCAAAATCATTGCAGAGGTTCGTAGCTGATGTGGGAAAATCTGCTGACAAAACCGTTAATCATGCATTTTCCAATCTTGGAAAAATCAACTCTAAAAGAAAACCATAAAAGTCACATATGTATTTTCTCAGTGAGCCATGTAGAGATAAAGCCAACAGTTAGATGAAAACAAAAGTACATGCTTTGGCCCACAAGCAAAATGCATGGCGTGCGGGTGCTTTTCTACAGAAAAGGACAAGGAAGCTGGTCATAGTTGATGGGAACAGGAATACAGATCAAATCAATTAAATTCTGTAAGACAACCAATTCAGTGACTACCAAAAGACTTAAGACTGGGTTAGGGTTAGGGTTGGATCAACAGGACAACCTCAAACCTACAGGGAGAGCGACGGTCTCTGGATGAGAAAAGCTGGAGAGACAAACCATAAGAGAAGAAATTGAGCTGAAAAAAGTTTAAATTAGTAATGGAAAAAACATTTATTTTCTTTCAAGCCATATTGTACATATGTGTGGGTTTATCACATAAAATTACATAACATACATTGAAGGTTCTGGTTGCAGCGTAACGAAATGCGGAAAAGCTTAAAGGGCGTGAATACTTTAGCAAGATTTAAAATTGCTTGAAACTGAAATGTAATATTTAAAAGTTTACTTTGTGGAAGTGGAAAGAAAAATCTTTTTATTATTATTTTTTCGTAAACATAGTAATAAAGTGATGCTACGAGTTCAATCTTTTGTTTGTATTTTAACCCAGTTTGTTTACAAATATAGCCGATAGCTATTATGTGCGACTGCTTTTAAGCAAGGGAGTTTTTTTTAATTCCATTTCCAAAAACCCAAAGGAATTAGAGGAATATCAGCACTAGATACAACCTTGTAAGTGAGAGGAGTTTACAGTAGAAAATGCGACCAGATATTTCATAGGTGAAAAGGAACCAACAATTGACTTTCCAGACCCAATACCAGTGACTACAGCATTTGTGCAGGTGTGTTTGGTGTGTGATGTTCTTAACATCAACACCATGAAGAGGCATAACAAATCAAATTCTGTTTAAGGCCCCATACAACCCTGGGTCAGCCCAGAATCCAAGAAACGGCCATATGTTTGTACGGATAAATAGGAGTAAAATCTAATTTCTCAACAGTTAAAACATTTTTTTTCTCTTTTATGTGATCTATAATGTAAAAAAAAAATGGAAGTGGAAGGTTAAACCTCAAAAGAAAACCTCAACATTTGGCATTGTCTAGTAAAAGGCTGTATCTCTTTAAAAACTGATGTCCCGAAAAAGATGAAACGTCTCTGTTGTTTACACATAAACAATAACAGTCACAGGCTTGCCCTGGCTTTTAAGGAGGTCACAAATGAAAAGCCCACATAGACTCAATGGAAACAACAAAGAGAATTTTCACTGGACCATTCACTGTGTTTTTTTTTTTTCCTCCCCTCATCGAAAAGGGAGTGCAGGGGATGTCAGTCTAACAGGCGACGGGCAGAAGCCTGGTCTGTCATCAGAAGAAAGAATGCGCCGCTCCAGGCGATTAAGAACCATTTACATATGTGCACATAACAAACACAGATGAGGACACACTGGAGTACTGATGCGTAATAAGAAGAGGAACATATTTTCCAAATCCAAGTTCTCCAAACACAACCCCACGAGCATGCGCGGTTGCTCCTGTTTGTGTTGGCTTAACAACTGAAGCGCGTGCGCCCCTGACTCCAAGTGCACCTTTAAAAAAAAAAAAGAGGACTCACCCAGGCGTTTTCCATTTTCCAGCGCGACCTTTTTACGGTGCTCTACAAATACTTTCTCCTGTGAGTTTGTCCTTTCAGGACGTGGACAGAAGCAAGACATCGCTGCGTAAAAAAAAAAATCCCCTCGGTGTAAAATTTGAGCTCGGTAAGGAAGAAAAAACTGGGAGGAAAAGTTTTTTCTCTCTCTTTCTCTCTCTCCTCATGGGGCGGGTCTTTACGTGTGTTGCTATGTTATAGCACCCATATTCGCCGCAGAGAGGGGGTAAACTGGTCCTTCGGAGAGACATTGTAGGTGTAGAAAACAAGCACAAATTCATTCTCAAAGTTACATTCATCATTTGGTTTAACTTTTCTGGGAAAGACACACACAAAGTTGATTCTTTTTTACTTTATTTTCTTGGAAGTATTTAATTTCACAGTATACACTTAATAAGATCAACTGCACTCAAAATAAATTAAATATAAAAATGTTCTTATTTTTGAAAAGGTTTTGAAAATACGTGAGACATAAAATGGCGCCGCCGTGTGGCAGTAGCTAAATGTATCTGCGGTTAGTTTTGCTCGACATTTTGTTGTGCTATGTATTATTTCGTCGAAACTATATAAATTCATAAAAACATATAACACGAAGACGCATTTAAAGCGTTGGCGAGTTTTGTTGGTTAGAGTACTAGTAATAATTACTATTATAAATGAGTAAATTAGTAATTTTGCCCGATGGGGAAAGCAATTCCCTAACATGTTTGGGCAGTGAAGTCACGTGATGAATATGTCTTTGAAAGTCTAAAGTCAGTTGTTGAAGCTTTCTGACTTTCTGCATGAGATAAAATGATGTTAGTTTTTAACCCAAATGTACCAGTTAGACGACTTGCTCTGCTAGTTCTGTTAAAACAAAGCCATTTGCGCTGTAAGTGCTTCTAAAGTGTTTCTAAAAGATATTATGCTCTTAAAAAGTGGGAATCAATTGTGTAAATAAAGCACAAAAGTTTCCAGTCCGTCACTCCAAAACAGTGAGTGGATTAGAATTCAAGCAAAAACTATCACCCGTTATTAGTTGCAGATCTGGCACAAGAGAGAAGACTGTCCCAGCCTGAAACTGGCCCGGACGGTGAATCATGGTGTACCGAGGACAGGGCATGCTGATCATCAGCTGTGTCCACCAACAAAACCAAAGACCTTGTTTTCACTCACTGAGTGAAAATAACAGGATGTGATGATGGCAATTGATTCCCAAAAGTCTGGATTGTCTGCGCAAAGGACGTAGGGCATTTTGGCACGCATATGTGGGGTTTTTGTCACAGCCTATAATTTTAGCATTCTTGCAAGTATTAAAATCTTTTTCTTCTAGTGTCCTACTCTAGTCACATGACTGGAAACAGTACAGAGAGGATGTCATTGGAACTGGAAGAAGGAGAATACGCGTCAAAGGCGCAGAGGCCAGTCAGCTGAGCAACAAACATAAGCATGAAACTAGACAAATATGTTGCTATTGCTACAATGTCATACGCATCCAGTCACTTGAAACAAGTTCTTAATAAGACATAACTTTGTTCCCATTCACCACACACAAATAGTCACAATATGCTAGAAATAAAGGAAAATAAATAATGTGTGAATTCACAGAGCTAATACTGACTAGCTCCTCCAATCACCTTTTTTTGTGCATTTTGTACAGCAGAAGTGAGTGAGCAGGTAACTGGCTGCTGTACAGTCGATGATTTTGTAGGGGATTACAACTGAAATAATTAGTTCCAAAAGTATTTAAAACACTACTATGGAAATGGATCAATGAAAACTCGACTTGTGACTAAACTTCTCTTTTTTATGGAGGAGAATTTGTGCAAACATCATGATTATTAAAATGTATTAAAAACTATATCTATAGATTAATAAATAGGCTATATGAATTGAAAGCTTCGTAAATATCTGAATTACAGCAGCAGTGTCTAATGTAGAGCTTTTAAACAAAGAAATGTTGGTTTTGAATTTACTGATCGCCTCTAGGCTTATTTCGGTAACATTTTGATACAGATTTAGTCCTTTAGATATTTAACAGAATGCATGGGTTTATTTTATTGGCATGGTTTCACCTTGTTAGAACATTATTTAGGTTACAAAAGTAATAAAATAAATGTTGAATGCCCTATCTGTTACAGAATTGACTTTGTCGGTCTGGGTTTTAAACTTGTATGGTTGTGTGATGAGTCAACCCGCCATTGACTCACCACAGCTCAGAAAATATGCCCTTCATATTACCCTTGTTGGAATGTTTGTTGGTTATATTACTAACACTACAAATATCATACTTCAGAATTGCATGTCTTCAGAACTGAAAATAAAACACAAAATGATAGAATAATTTAAAACAATGATCAACTTCACAATGTGTATCTTGAATATGATGAGAAGCGTCCCAGGGACTATGAACTTAAAATACTTGAAATAATATGTTATTTCAGTTAATGTCTGTTTATAAATCAGGTTTTTAATCCTTTAAAAACCGTCACTGGACAAAGTGAAAACAACAGGAAATGAAGGCATTTTAACCATCTCCAAGAAAATCAAATATTCTTCTATTTCAAAAGTTGTTGAAATAGAAGTTGTTGCTTTGCACATATAAATTATTGGGACTAAAAGTATGAACATAGTTTTTCATTTAACATAGCAACACAAACAGAGTCTGCACCTCAAATGTGGATCAAGAAACAACATTTTAGCAGACGTTGAGCACAATGACGTAATGAACAGCTTCACTATCGCCACCCTACTCACCGTCTCTCTTAGAGCCCAAATCTGATTCCATTTTGAATCCAGGCAAAATCAATCCCCGTCCACAGCAGAAAGAAACTCCCGTTTGCCTCTGTTGCACTGCCTGTCCGTGTCAGTGGAAATATTCCCACAACTCTTCTGTGAGGAAAATCTACTCTTCTTTTTCTCCCCTCTGAGCCAACCCACAAGGCGCACGCTTCATACCAGCTCCAGCCCTGCTTGTTCACACCCATTTGAGCACCAGTTTGACAAGTCTTCCACTGTCTCTCATGACTACATCATTTCCTCCATGCTTGCTGATGGAAGCTACACCTTCAGAAGGAATGTTGTCAACACAGCCAGAAAACATCTACTTGGACAACCTTATCATTGTCAAGATGGTGTTTTAATACAGCTGAACTAATGCTGAAATTACACTTTTTTTTCTGTGGCCACTGAGAGTGCACCTGATTTATTTTGGGTGTTGCTGGTAGAGACCTACCTTTTCTTGTCACTCTTGTACTTCCACTCCACACCTCGTCTGCATAACAACAAACTATTCTTAGCATTAGTCCATGAAAATGTTTGGAAAGGAATCACTTCTGCATGATGTAAACCCAGGTCATTTTTATTATAAAAAAGTGCTCTGATTTTTTATCTGTTTGTTGACTATTGTGGTGTCTCATAAGCCCACTGCGAAAATTCTATTGATTAAAAAGGGAGAAAAAAACATGAAATGATGTAAAAAAAAGAAAAAAGCTCAACAATTCCCTCTTTGAGAAACCCACTGCAGTCCCACATAAGCAGATCAACACAACTACAGATTTTGTTTCAGGCACCTCAGGAATGTTGGCCTATGCAACAAGAGCGACTGGCATTCATGAGCGGGTCAACTAAAACTAAACCTTTTCAAGCAGTGGCCAGTGTTTTTGCATGAGACCACGGGGAATGTGCTTTGCATAAATCAAGTTATCCAGACACAGCTGAGTGAAATTTTTGTCTGCTTATATACAGGAAATTCTTGCTTGGTTGTTGAGAGTATTTTGTGTATTTTCATTCTAAATTTACCCATTTGGAGAATCACACATAATTCACGTGATTGCTACCAACACTTAGACCTATCCTGTGGGTTGTTTTTGGTCATGTCTGTGTGTGGTGTGTTTTCTTTTTTTTTTTTTTACCCGACTAACTTGTAGGGAGGATTTGGTTAGATGTTACAAGGTGTGAAAACACCTGTTGGGTGGAGTTAATCCTGTTCCTGTTGGAAAAACACCCTTTGGTTGTTGTGCTTTTTTCCTACTATATAGGAGGGCTGTCACAACCATAAAAAAATGTTAATCTATTAGGGTGTTTTCTGGGTCTTAAACATCTTGGTATATTGACAATACTTGCATCTATTTATCCATTAATAGAAGCTCTCAGCTGTGAAACATGAGCACAGCTTAGAGTTTCAATGTCTTTACAACCACAATAAACACACATCTATTCAGACTGGCTTAGAACTAGCTATTACCTCTCATTTCCAGCATTGCATTGTTAATCTAATCTTTGTGATCTCATTTCCTGTTTCTTAATATCAATAATTGCTTAATTTATCTCACTTTTGTTTCCTCATTACTTTTTTTGCCTATAATTACTACTTGTTTTATCTGTCTATTCACTGTTTGAAAATGTTGATGATTTTGTTGCATGTGTTTCTAGTGATTACATCTCTGCCTTTGTCTTATACTTGACTGTAAAAGTGCTGCATGTATTCATTCAGGAGCAAGGCACAGCCTTTTTTTTTTTTTTTTTTTGGTGGAAACGGACTTCCATACCCACACAGCCTAAAATTAATCTCATATTTGTGACTGGAAGATGTTGTTGTATTAATGTTCACTTTGTTGTGTTTTGCGTCAAACGTAATGTTTTGTTTATGTAAAGTAGTTTTCCAATACCTGCAACAGACTGGCAACCTGTCCGGGGTGTACCCCGCCTCTCACCCGGAACGTTAGCTGGAGAGGCACCAGCACCTCCCGACCCTACTAAGGGACAAGGGTGTTAGAAAACGGTTGGATGAAGTTTTCCAATAACTTAATTATTAACGGTGTCATATTGATGAAAACTTTATTTATTTATTTATTTATTTATTTGTGTATTTGTGTATTTATTTATTTGTATTAATTTGTCTTGATTACGTAATTGTTTGTTACAAAAGGTCACACGCGGACCGCTTTCAGATCCGGTGCGCAACCTGTGGTTGCTTAGCAACCACATATACGCACACATGGCCGACCACCGCAGCGGGATTTACTTAAAGTGCTGAGCTTCTAAAGTTAGTCATTGTACACTTTATGTGGTCATGAATGAGTGTTGCGAGTCTGACGTGACGGTATATATTGCGTTTCTAACTTTACGGTCTTTCGCAGCTATTTTCATT